TTCTTTGCGGCCTGCTGATGAGCTGGCGGGCGTGACTCGTCGGCCGAATCTTCGTCAGACTCCATGTCGCCGTCGACTCTGTTGATGCTCAAAACAGAGAACCGATTGAAAAAAAGCATCTCTTCGACATCATGTTGGCATACGTCGAATCCTTCCGTTGCTTCAGTGTCTGGCTGAATGGTGCCACCGAATTCCTTGAGGATATCGGTGAGAGCATCGATGAAGTGCTTGTGGGAAGAGTTGCTCTTCACGAGGTCGGCATCTGGATAGGCACTGGCGAACTTCTGAAATTGTTCATAATGCAGAGATTCAGCTGAGATGACGGATCGAAGTAGGTGCACGATGCCTTGTGGTATTTTGCGCATGTGTCGGGCGATCAGTTGGCCCATCGCGACAAGTTCCGCGACCGTCGTTTGGCCAGAGGTATTGACGTCGACCCTGGCCGACAAGGGCATCTCATCCTGAGAAGTCGGGTATCTTTTGACAATGGAGTTGGAAGTATTGATCACCCAGTAGAGGAGGTGTCTCGTGTCGCGTTTGTAGGCAAGGTAGGAGTTTTCGGGAGGGGGCTGCCGAGCAGCAGTCTCACGGCTGATTTGAGGTGGCATCATTCGGAATCAATCTGCGCGTTGTTAACTCCGAATTCGATGGATATTTGGATGATGAGTATACTTGCAAGCGATCAAACGATGTGGGAGCAGATGCGAAGCAGTCGTGTTGAGGAAAGGCATCCGGCATGGGCGGGTGGGCGAAATTTACACGACAAAGTTTGGAAGCTTTATGCCTGTCGCAAATGGCGATCGAAGTTTCCAAGAGGAAAAAGAAAAAAAAGAAAGTCCAACGGTTAAAATTTCGATTTGACCATTCTTTCCAAGCTGGTCCCGTTTGCATTTAGGTTGACGAGGGTGGCTGCAGTAACCCGAGCAAACACCGAGTGGGTATCGAGACAAATGCACAAGGATAGAAAGGCGCAGAACATGAACTGTCGATGGCCTTCTTTGTTTACTGACCGTTAGCTGAATCATTGCGATACATTTTGAAAAGGTGTGAATGAAGCCGAAGAACAGGTGTCGCTACTATTGAAAGAGAGCACATGGCAAATTCCAAAAAAGGTATCCAACACAGCGGAATGGCACCAAAGTAATGCGCACGATATGAAATGACTATGCCTGTTCCAAAGTAAAGTCCAAACCCATTGACAAGACATGAGAAATTCTCCTCAAAATCTAAATCCCACAGCCTCCTTGCTTCTAGCCTGCATCGCAATCCGCATTCCGAGAAACCATTGCATGAAGCGAGTCGGCAGTAAATATTGATCAAGAAGCATCAAGCCCACATTTGCCCATGTAGCCATGGCTGTGGCGCCACTTGACTGCTGACAGCCGGCTTTCACATCCTCATAACGTTCCTGCTGGTACCTTGCGAAAGCTTGAGAGAGCGATCTAGCGTCCCATGCACTTCCTCCTTCGCGATGGGCCTTCGAAAGAGTGTGGAGATGATTCACCAAGACGACAGTGTCTATCATCCCAAAGTTGACACCGGATCCCGTACTGGGCGTGAACTTGTGGGCTGCGTCTCCAACGAGGACGATCCGGCCGTTCCAGCTCCAGTGTTGGAGAACACCCTCTTCCAGGTCAACTAATCCGGACCCCAGCCGCGCCTCGTACGCGTCTTTCAGACAGACGGGAGTATCGCTTCCTGTTCTCTCCAGAAGTGGCAAATGCCCATACTCCTCGACGAGAGCTGTTTCATCCTTCTCGCTGTAGCGCGTCGATGTGCGCGTGGGTCTGGGCAGTTTCCTGTAAATGCCGGCCGTTGCTGTCTTCTCACCGACGAAGAGCTGAGTCGCAATTCCAGACCCGTGAGTCTCGGTTGCTGAGCCTGGCTTGCAGCTTGGCAGTCTTTCGGTCGGAAAGCGGATCCACAGCGCTTGGTAGGTCGTGGTGAACGGGCTAACTTCATTGACGCTGAGAACTCCCGAGTCGAGTGCCAAGTTTCGCATTTGTGTTCGAACCGCGCTGTAAGCACCATCGGCTCCGATGATGAAACTTCCGGAATATTTGGTGCCATCAGTGCAAGAGACTGTGACGCTGTCTTGCGAGTTGTGGATGCCAGTGATGGTCTTGCTGGTGAAGATCCGACTCTGAGCATCCTCTGGTAAGGCTTCGTACAGCGTGTTTAGCAGGTTCTTCCTGCTCAGAACATAAGGGTAATGCCCAGTGCTGCAAAATTGCGTGTCATCAGTAAGCCAGGCTTTTGCGAAATCTCTGCTTCATTGCAACGTACCTTTTTCGTAGGTATTGAAACACGCGGAATTCACCAATGCCTCGCCCGTTATGATCAATTCGTGAAATTCCTGAGACTGGGTTCCAAATCCTCGATAACGGGTCGGAAAGATTCATCTGATCGATAACGCGCATGGTCATTGGCAGGATGGTCATGTCAGACCCCTCTTCAACGACAACTTCCTTTCGTCGCTCCAGGAGGATGAAGTCAATGCTTGCCCGTGTGAGAGCCAATGCTGCAGTAAGGCCAACTGGGCCACCGCCGACAATAATAGCTGTAGTTCTCAGATGATCCATGTTTCTGCCCTGTATTCAGTGAGAGTAGAGATGTGTCGTTGTAACAGGTTAGTTGTGAACAGGCGTGAGTAGATAGTAAGTTTGATTGACTGCAGACTGAATGATCGAACAGACGGACCAGGGAAGGGATTGCTTTCTTATACACATCATAACACTAATGGATTTAGAGCCAAACGAGTAAGGCTCCCCATTATTCAAGGGCTCTTCAGACTTGTCGATGCACTCATTCATCGGGTTCGGGTTTGCGTTTGGCCCTTTGCGCCCCGAGAGCCGATCGAAGGAGCTAAGGACCCGAACCCGAGAACGCCACCTTTTTGAGATCAAGGCAGGGATTGTGCATCTCACGTGAGCCACTGGTTCTGTGTAATGATCGGCGAGGTCACTTGAACTCCTCGGCTTGGGGGCGGCTGAAAGGCAAGATATTCGCGAAGTATTATTCAGAAGTAGTTCTCAATGATTATGACCCTATCGATTTACAGCGCCTAGCAATATAGAACATAGATCTGAGTGATCATCTACTTGCATTGCTGACAACGGAATGTTCAGGAACGACTGCCACTCAGGACCAAGTTCATGGCAGATAACCTTTAGGGACTGTTGACCGAAGCCTGCTAGCCACCATACACCATGCAGTAGTTTCAGGAAACAGGCATAGTGTGCAATTATCACGAGAGCCCTCGGTCTCCTAGCCCTCGCCAGGTCAACGATACCATTTACCGCTCCGGTACCCCAGGTGATGATGCGCAGAAGCATGACAGAGTCAATACCCCGGCCCAGGCTGTCGAACAGACAACCCAGTGCCCTTAGGCCGTTCTGATAGGCTTGAAGGTCGGTGAAGTCAGGATCGCCCCGGTCTATGAATGATATCATGAGGAGTAAGTCCTTCGGGATTGCGGCGGTAGATGCAATCAAATCCATGGGCGGTCGGGAAAATAAGGGTGCCATTCCAGTCGTCTTGATAGATGACGCGCTGGTGATGTTGATGATTGATTCCACACCTCGCCATAGAAGCATCCAGTCCAGAATGTGAAGATGATTGGACGATACTTCCCCAAACGACTGTGTCGAAAGGATAGGTCGCAGTACGGAGTTGGCCAAAAGAGCACCATACGTGCTTGGCTGTGCGGCTTCAATGGCCCTGCGATACCCTTCAACGGACCTTGCCTGATACACGAGGGCACGGGTTGGCTCGGTTGCCTGTCCTAGGCTCTGCATATGAAGGCTCGCGAGCTCGAGAATCGAGTTCATCAGAAAGGGCGCCTCGAAGGCATGCTCAACTAGAACTGTCTGTAGCATGTCGTTTATCGGACGCTGCGTATCGTCCACGTAAGACAGAGACTTGCATGTGGAGGAGGTGTAGAACCACAGCAGTCTCATGTCCACAGCATCGGTGGTTGGAAGACAGATCAAAGGTTCATGGACTATCCTCGGTTTCATTGCGATACGTTCCGACAAGGTGATTGACGTTGCCGGGTAATCTTGAGAAGGCGAAGATGCTGGAGACTTCCTCGAAGCCACAGGTGCGTATTCGCATTTTGTCCGACGTATCCTACAGGAGCGACAGGCTGGGCGGGTCTCATCGCATTTGACCTTGCGCAGCTTGCAGTTCGTACAGCCGAGGCGAGACTTCTTATGCGAGCGCTTCGGAGGGAGATATACATCGGCGCTTTGTTCGGTAGGATCTGGCACTGTGGCTGTCCCCCGGCAGGTACCCAGCTCTACGCATTCAGCTGGAACTGAAAACGTGTCTTCGATCATGATGCGACGTTTGTTCTCGCTGGTAGGGATTGACAGGGATTCGAAGCCAGTTCATGCAAATGGGTGTCGAGGGAAGATGTAACGTGCGATATCCGGGCCGACTTGCATGCGATGACCGTTGCGATGCGAGCTCTCTTAGCTTATGTTCGATGAGGCTGAAATGTGTGAAGTGGAATATCGCAGATGGATCATCAGCGTCATAGAGGAAAACAGTCTTGGTAGCATCGCGCTAAAACTCGGGTTCGGGTTTTATGCATGTTACCCATGTTGCGTCCGAACGATTTACAAGCCACATGAAAAGCGACATCCGTCGAATCGGAGGTTCCTATTTCAGCCCGAGGGAATGGACGCTAACCTCCCGTCGTATTTAAAAGTCCTTACGATTGGTCCTGATACCAAAGGTCCCTAGCCTGCCGTGTTCCGCCTCTTGAAATGGCTAGGGCTTACTCTTGCATTCCATCACATTGATCAGTGGCTTTTGACTGAGGCACGCTCTTCTAAGCATTTACAACAGTGATCTGCCGCTGCAGTTGACTCCCTTATTTATAAAGGATGAGGGGCTGCCCTTAGGTGTTGCCTCTGAGGCAGATCCAGCCACATCTTCTCGATACGCGTCACACCTCACCTGTGAAACTGAGACATAATACCTCATCTGCCGCCATGGTCAATTTGGATACCGTCCACGCCATCAATCGCGAGTTGGTACAAAGCCAGAAGCTCGTCGCCGTCTTCACAGGTGGCACTGGAGGCATCGGGCCTCTTAGCCTGAAGGCGCTAGCCACCGCCGTCGCGAAACACAATGGGCAGGGTCTGAGAGCCTACCTCGTTGGCCGTAACGCTGATGCCGCAGAGAAGATCATAAAAGAGTGTCGCGCCATTTATGAGGCGGGCGAATATCACTACATAAAAGTCGAGGATTTATCACTCGTTGAACAAGTAGACAAGGCCTGTGTGGATATCATCTCCTCTGAAGAGCGCAATGCGTCAGCCACAGGCGAGACTGCGAGGATCGACTTCCTCTTGCTATCTCATGGAGGGACCATATTTCTGCCAAGACAAGGTACGATCCACCACGAAATACCGCCGTTTATGATACGATTTAGTTAGGCTGACCTTCATTGCGTGTTTTCACTCTCAGACACTAAGGAGGGTCTAGACGGGACCATGGCCCGCTTCTACTACAGCCGCATCGCATTTATCACGTCGCTCATGCCTCTGGTCCTAAAGTCGTCGCTTCCAGCCGCCGTTGTATCTATCTACGCCACAGGCATGGAAGGCAAGCTCTACCCCGATGACCTTTCACTGCGCGACCTGTCTCACTACAACTATTCGCAAGCGCGATCACACGCTTGCTACATGCACACTCTCGTTTTCGAGGAGTTGGCAAAGAGGCACCAGGGCAAGCTACGCTTTACCCATATCTATCCCGGGCTCGTTGTCCACGAGGGCATGGGTAACCCAACCAATCCCTGGTGGATACGCATCCTATTCACTAAGGTCCTGCCATTTCTCGGCGTGGACGTGGACCTAGAAGAGTCAGGGGCTCGGATGGTGTCGTTGGCATCGCCATCTTACTACCCGGCTCAACGTCTTGACAGCATTGACGAGGTCAGCAGTTCTGCCATTGCTGGAACCGATGGACAACCTGGAAGTGGCTCGTATATGTTGACTTGGAATGGTGAGAGCTGTTATGCTGTGAAGAAATATGCTTCGGCGGACAAGGACGCGCTAAGGCAGAAGCTGTGGGATCATAGCAACGCCGTGCTGGAAGTTATCCGCGCTGGTAAGGTTTTCACGGAATGAGGACATTCTAAAACATGTCCATGAGAAGTATGTACCTTCTGTAGATCAGTGACGGGGCAGGAGCCTAGGATGAGATGGAGGCTATGAACAAGGTCGCGGTATGTATTGTTTCTACATGAATGCTAGTACACTGCATTGAGTTTCCAACCAACTGCTAGCACTCTGGCTGCAATGTAACAGGCGAGGGATACAACATATGAAACCCCGGAAAACAAGATCAATGCTGTCCATGCCGTCTCTTGGTTTTTGATTCCCAGCAGCAACCCACCAAGGGGAATGCCAAGAAGAGTTCCGAAGCTGGCGGACAGCATCGCTGTAGATAGGAACCGCCCGTAATCTCGAGAATCGCAGAGCTGTCCGATGCAAGCCGGAATGAGGCTCGCGTTGCCTCCACTAGCGAAACCGAATATGAAGGTGAAGACAAGCAGCGCTGGCCATGAGCTACCCGCCGGTAGCCAGATAGCGAAGACCGATATCGTGCACAGACCGACGGTGAGGACGATGGTGTTGAAACGTCCAATTTGATCGGCGACGAACCCAGGTAATGCTCTCCCAATGATACTACCTACGTTGATCAAAATGGGCAGTAAATAGTTTGAGCTTGCATCGCTCCCTTTACTCATGGAAAAAGAGATGATATACGTGAGCGGAATCAGAACCCCGTACTCCATGAAGAAGACACCCCCACAGCAAAAGGCGAACTTTGGGTCTTTGAAAAGCCGTATATCCGGCCAGATGGAATCGAACTTTTCGCTTGGTGGAAGACGTGTTCTCATCAAGAGATTTGTTGGTACTGCGAAGATGAGGTAAATCAGGCCAAGTAAGCGCATGCTCCATGCGAAACCGAATCTCGGCAGAGCAGCTTGTAATACAAAGGGGAATACGACGCCCCCGAATGAACCACCGGTTGCTGCGAGACCCATCGCAAGGCCTCTCCTGGTATTGAACCAGTGCCCAATGATGGCGAACGACGGGGTATTGAGAAGAGATGCACCAAGGCCGGCCATGATGGAGAAAGTCAGGATGATCTGGTAATATTCTAACGGGAATCAGTCAGTGATCATTGGATAGCGATTAGGATGCTCTTACCTGTGCAGAGGCTAAGAATCTCTAGACTGGCAATCATTACCAGACTCCCCGCAGCAACCAACCCTCGATGGCCATACCTGTCAAAGGCTGGCCCGGCTAGAATTCCAAACAAGAACAAAACAAAGAGATATATCGAGAATATCCACCCTAACTGAGAAGGGCTGTATTCACTCAATTGGTTCTCGGAGAAATAGGATTCAAACACGGCTGCAGTATTGGGCAATCCGAACACAGACACCATGGCGCAGAAAGAACCCAGAACCACGCACCAGCCCTGCAATCCTCCTTCAGGATATGTAAGCGGTTCCTCAAGATCTTCTTGTGGCAGGCTTGGGTTCGTGTCTTCCCTAGAGGCCGGCACCGCTTCGTTCTTCATTTTGGCATCTTCAACACCTTTTCCGGATTCATCGCGGATGGAGGTTGGTTGCGATGTAGTTGACTCTTGCAAGGCGATCTCCGATGTCATGTTGAAACCACTTGAAGCTGGTTTTCTGAAATGACGATTCGGTTAGAAAAAAAAAAAAAAAGAGAGAGTCTTTCGATGCAAAGAAGTAACTAAAATCACGGCCACGACATGTGATCACCATTTCAGTCGTAAATGATAATCTGGGGCCTGATGTCGATTGTCCGTGTCTTGAGACTTCACCGCTTTGTTCTCGATGCCCGATGTTTTGAAATACTAAATGAGAGACGGCATTCATCATGAGCGCGGCAGAGAGGATGATCGGGATTCCAAATGTCCGGCTGGTTCTTTTTCCTTTTCGGGTCAAATTATTGTACCCCACTTTCGCGGAGTCTCCGCCAACTGAGGTGGTGACACATGCCTTGAAGCTAAAATATTCCGTGGTTCGGAGCCCCGAGCAAAGCCCGTACACATCAAGACTTCTGATTCGATTCGATGCACTGTGACTTCGGTTTATTCTCATTCGCCGTTTTTTTCCTCTGCTTTGTGCGAGGTTAAGAGGGGTTTAAATGGACTAGAGTTGGGTTGTAGCGGGATGACGGTTAACGGTTACAGTTAGTGTCCGCTGCGTGTTGAGCCACACCAAGGTGGGCTGCTTAATTTCTCCAAAAGTGGAAATATACTGAACCTTTTGATTATAAATACTGCGAGAACCTGACGTAGAAGCAAGATTAACCGGCTGCGCAAGTACTGTCTCTGTGTCGATTGAATGTTTGGATCTTACTTTTGTTTTCTACCCTATTCTATGGTTTAGGTCTTACCTCTACCTACTAGGTACCTATTCCACATCGGGCAGTAGTACCAACTCAAGGTCACACACCGATTCAGTAGCAGCAGAAGTGCCCACCAAGCATCAACGGAATATGAATCGCGGGGTCGCAGCGCCTGCGTTATGGCAAATTCCTATATATGCAGCCAACTTCTTCGAGTGCCGGTAGTTCAATTGATGATATCCCGAGTTCGTTTCACGAATTGACGCACACGAAACCAACACCCATCATGACTATCATTGCAGTTGCTGGTGGCACAGGACCAGTTGGGCGAACCATCGTCGACGGTCTGGTTCAACACGGCGGACACAAAGTGTTTGTGCTTTCAAGAACGGTAAGCAAAAGAAGCGTATTTGACTGTGTCGTAAGCACACACGCCAATATTTCTCACAGACTCGTCCGCCCCAAGATGGAGTCGAATACCTCGCGGTCAATTACCCGGACATTGAGGGAACCGCCAAGATTTTGGAGACCAACAAAATCGACACAGTCATTAGCGCTATGGGTGTAGTCACAGCAGAGATCAGCGTATCCCAGGTTCAGCTGGTTAAAGCCGCTGACAGATCAAGCACGACCAAGCGGTTCGTAGTCAGTGCTTATGACATGCTGCACAAGCGAGAGTACGTGGCCAAGCATCTGGATGGTAATACGTGCATGAATGCTAAGACTTGACAGACATATTGAGGACAGCCCTCTTGCCAAGTTCGTCTTTGAGGCAATTGATGAGCTGGATCGCACCAATCTGGAGTACACTCGGGTAGTCAACGGCTTCTTCTTGGACTACTTCGGCATGCCGCACTGGAAGACGTACATGCACCTTTGGGTCAACATGGTGAATGTGGAGAAGAAGTGGGCTGTCATTCCCGGAGACGGCTCTGCAAAGGTCAACTTCATCGCCTCGCAGGACATGGCCAAGTTCATCGCTCGCCTGATGGACCTGGACAAGTGGGATAAAATCAGCAGCATTATCGCGGAGACGCGGTCGATATCCGAGATCCTTGAGATTTCCGAGAAAGCACGAGGTATGTCCGCTTCTAAGAACCGTCTGAACGCCTAGCAATACTGATTAACAACTAGGGGCGAAATTTCGTGTCGCTTATGATGACCTTAAGAAATTGAAGTCGGGCAAAATCTCGTTCATTTCAGACTTCCCGGACATAGGCCTGTGCGAAGAGGAGTCGGAAAAGTTGTTCGCAATTTTACACTACTATGCGGGGACTGAGCAGTTTCTCGTACCGAAGGAAACCAATAATTATCAAGCCCAAGTTTCCGGACATCGTCACCAAGACGGCAGAGGAAGTCATTGAGGGATCATGGAAGGGCAAATGATAGTAACGGACATGTCAACATACGTAGCAATTCTAGTTTCAGCATTCACACTTTGACGGGAAATTCACTTTGGAAGCAAAGCCAATGAATCGAAGTAAAATTCATGAGTCAGCATAAGATTCTGAGAAGTATAAAAGTGACCATCATCACCCATTCTAAACAGTTGATCTCGCATGATAAAGTGCTGGTAGACTAGATCCTTCCTTCGTTGCCAGCTGCCCCAACGTACCGCAAAGCTAAAACCTGCTGGTTTCGCCGACGAATTTGCTCAACCTTTCATGCTTTCAGTAAAACAAGACATGTTTTCAAGTGCGACAACTCTTTTTGACTTAGCTAGCTTCTCGGTCTGTTCGAGCCATTGTGCTTGACCTGCACTGAGCATATTTCAACTGTAGCTCTATCCAGCCTTTGAGGGACAAAACCAACGCAGGATAGAACCAAGACTGGCATGTTAAAGCTAAACAGCAGATTCTTCTTTCGGTGCCCTACATAAGCAGAGTTCCCCGACATAATGTGTGTAATCTGGGCTACCTTATTCTAGATAAAGCAGCATACCTCCGCTCGGCGCATGCATCACTAATATGTCTTTTACTGATCACAGCACCGCATACAGATATCTGCGTGACATCTCCCTATATCGGTTTCGTCATATCATGTGCCAAGACATTTTCTATACGTACGACTGCGGTCATCGGATACGCAATACTCCGACTGTGATTCGCTGCGAAAGGTGCGTTAAGTCTGGCTTCGATTGTTAGTATGGATCAACAGGCAAAGACGAGAAGTTACCAGGCGGCGCAGGGCTATGCCGCGACTGCCTGCAAAAGTGGGAGCAAGAGTCCCCAGATGTCGTTGTAGACGTCGCCAAATCAACAGTTGAATCGATAAATGGGTTTTGGAAGAGGGCTGTAACGAGCTTAGGTGGTCTTGCGAAAAGTTTGATAAGGACCATTTCCAAGACAAAAGCGGGCACGGGAACTGACAGGGAGGATGAAGGAAGTCTCTGAAGTCCAAAGAATTAAGTATTTACAACGGCCAATGCTTCAAAAGTGGCAAAGTTCAAGGCAAAACAAGGCAGAATCTACTCTAACTACCCGATGATTAGAAACGTCAGCCACCACGGCTATCTCAATGGCAGAATCGGCTTATTCATCATCGTTTAATCCAATCTATCCCTATATTTTGCGCACCCAACCCTAGCTTCTCTTGGACCACTGTCAGAGCCGGGCCCTGATTTTCTGGCTCTCAAGCTCATCTTCCGCCTTCTTTCGAGAGTCTTGCCAAGACTTGGTCTTAGCCGTTCCCATCGTAGCCCAAATATCTAACAGGTTGTCGTCAAACGGCGGCAACACACGGCCAGTTGTGCCTGGTTCAGGATCGCCTGCAACTGATCTGAAGTACTCGAAGACTGTCTTGTAGTCCGGCGCGATGGTGTAGTACGCCTTGCCGCCTCCGAGCTCGGCGACGCGCTTTCGTTCCCATTCCTTCTTCTCTTCCTTTGAGGGCAACGGGTTTCCTCTACCAGCAAGAAGTCGAGCGACAGCGACAGCTTGCCATTCAAAAAGTCTGAACGTAAAGCCTCCACCACACTGTTTGACGTTAGAAACCCGGTCATGGAGTAAAGAGCACCACTTACCATGCCGAGGAAAGCGAGCGTCGGGTCCTCGATATCCCATGTGTGGTAGTAAACGCCCGGCAAGCGACGGTCAGCTTGCACCACTCTCTCCTGCACTTTAGGCAGAAATGGGAAGCTGAATGTGTAGCCGGTGCCAAAGATTACGTGATCGACATCCTCTACTTTGGTGCCATCTTCGAAGGTAATGGACCCTGTCTTGGAGCAGAAGTGGACGATTTGCTTTTGAATCGAAATGTGAGGATGTGTGAAAGGTTCCCAGCCGAAGTGGGGAATTGGATCGCCTCGAAGAGAAGCGTAGACTGGGTGCTGCGCGACCGGAAGGACTTCGTGGAGAAGCTCGTGTGAGGAGACGGATCCTCCAACAACAATCACTTTCTGAGATCTTGTGAGCAAAACAACTCCCAGCTGGTCAGTGGAGTGGGTGATTGAAGTACCTTGCCCTTGTATTTATCAGAGCCCCTGAAGTGCTTGCTGTGCACAATCCTTCCCGGGAATCTCTCATCGTACTCGGCGATTCCCTTGATGTCGGGTATCCAAGGAATGTTGTAGTGACCAGTTGCAACTACAACGGCATGAAATCTCTCTTGCCACCATTGATCCTTTCCTGGAAGCTCTTTCCGCAGAGTGAGAACCCACTCATCGCCCTTCTTCTCCGCAAGTTCGACTGTGGTACTGAGTTCGAGCAGCTTCTCATGACCATTTCGCACAAAGATGTCTTCAACCCAGTCCCTGATTTGACCGCGACCCCGGAACGGAGCATCATCGCCGTACTTCTCTCGGATGCGATCAGTCAACGTCTCAGGGAAAGGCTCCGTGGTGAAGCTCATGATCTCGGGTGTGATGTTTGTATGTAGATGCTCATGCTGGGCGGTGTCTGAGAAGCGGACTTGGTGACTGTTGACGACTTCTGACTTTTCAGTCTGGGCTGGAAGCTCGGTTGGGATGGGGACGGGGGCGTCAGCGTTTCCATCAAGGAGCTTGCGCAGGGATGGGATCGCTGCTGGTAGATGAGGGGTGTAGATCCTGTGTCATTTGAATTAGACTCCCGGGTTTTGGCTTGAAGTTTGTTCGAAAAGTTGAGTTACCATGTACCGCCCGGAACGGCCCGCCGATCAAAAACTCGGACGGTGTCGAAAGCTTCTTCCTTGACCAAGGCGTCGGTTGCGATGGCGCCGCTTGGCCCGGCGCCAATCACAGCCACCCGGCGAATCTTTCCAGGCATGATGACAGACTTCAGATTTTACAGTAATGCTGATATAAACTTTACGTCCACAACACCTTCTTGTGAAAGAGTGAAAGTCTGAAGTGCTAGTCAAGCTGGCTGAAAGCTTGTTCGTAAAACAATCGATATCTCTTAAAGCCGTTAAAGAAGTCAGCGCACATTCATGCGCGCTTATCTGATCCAATGGTTCGTTGGTTGATTGCGCCACGGATGGTAGAATTGCGTCTTCATGGAACACGAGCACGTCAGGTGGGTCGGTAGGTTCCCCGTTTCCCCAACGGGAGCAACCCCATGTCGCGGAAGCGTGAACGCATCTCGACATCAAATCGGGTGGGAGTATTTATGAGAATTCTCCCCATTCCGCGAAGAATCTTGCTGGGGGTTAATCGTTACGGCCGTCGGCGCCGATGTCGCCATTCCTCGGTGGGTTCCCGGATGTCCCGGTCAGCAATTGCGTGCGCAGCTGAGGATCGGCCTCCGGTAAAACGGATTGTGCGAGTCTTAATCAAACACTTCAGGTCAATCCGCACGCAAAGACGAGAGAATTCTGATTCAAATAAGTTTCGTACACTTGGCCCGGCTTTGAGGGTCGCCACACCATTCTAGAGTATATCAGATATCAATCCTTGAGCACAACCGCGACCTTCTCTCCATCCTTGCCCTCCACCGTCTCCACCTCACACTTGTAATCCTTGAACTTTCTCGCTGGTACGCCCTTCTGGAACATGTCTTCCAGCTCAAGGTAGCTGCGGCCCTTCATCTCAGGGAAGCAGAAAAACAGGTAGACGGAGCAGATCAAAGACGGGGCAAAGAAAACGAAGGCTACCTTTCCACCCAGGTTTGCGTTGCTTGGATTGATAAGAAACGGGATAAGCTGGGTAACAAGACAGCCTGCTGAGGTGTTGCTCATGATCGTGATTGAGTAGGTCTTTTGACGCAGGCGGGGTGACGGTGTTTCGCCGCCCACGGCAAAAGCAACCGCGCCGATGGATAGTTGATACTGAGAAGAAGAAAAAGATGTCATGTGCCATTCGCGGCCGGGATGTGGAGGAGAAGACTTACCAGGAAACCCCAAAGAGCCATAAAAGCTACGACTGCAGCAAGCGCCTGCTGGTTGTTCTCAATCACGCTTAAACCTCCGATCAGGAGCAACAGCGCTGACATCGAGATGATGCCCCAGACGATAAGAGGACGTCGGCCGGTGCGTTCCACGAGAAACCAGGAGCAGATGTTTCCGAGGAGCTGGATGCTGTAGCAGACTTGGGCGATGCCGATTGGGTTGCCTACGCCGGCAATTGTGAAGAAGTAACTGTGTTTGCCAATCAGTACTGGGTTTCAAAGAAAGGAAGGAAAGAACTCACGGAAGGTAAGATGCCACAAAGTTACTGCCAGCGAGTTGTTGCGCGAGATAGACGACGACCACGATGGTGGTTCGGCGAAGATTAGGACCCTTGAAGCACTCGAGATAGGATGCACCTCTGTCGTTGAGCTCCTTCTCCTTCTCGAGTGTAGTCTCCATGATGGCCAGCGTTTCCTCGACATTGTGCTTCGGACCGTTAAACTTACGCAATGCCTTGGCGGCTTCTTCCCTTCTTCCCTTCATCAGGAGCCAGGTGGGTGACTCTGGCAGCAAAAGGCCTCCCAGGACGAGGACCAAAACGGGTGGCACCAACTGAGTGAAAACAGGCAGCCTCCATCCCCAGTCACTTTCGATGAAAGAACCACCGTATCCGACCAAAGCGCAAGACCATTGTCCGAGAACAATCATGGTGTTGATCAGGATGAGACACACGCCTCTGAGAGAGTCTGGGGCGATCTCAGCGACGTAGACCGGTCCGAGGGTGTGGCCCAGCCCGTAGCCGACGGTGCTGATGAGCTTTCCACCAAAGAGCATCATGATTGAGTTCGAGAAGCCTTGTACCATAATCCCGGCGATGCAGAGACCGCATCCAAGGAGTACGACAAGACGGCGGCCGATGAGGTCGGAGATAAAACCGGTTGTGTACGCTGCTACGAAGACGCCGATCGTGGTTGAGGCATTGAGGATTTGCTGATCATGGGTGCTGATTTCTTTCGCCCCTGTGGCTGTTGTAACTCCAAATTTGTTCAAGAATGAGGGAATTGCGAGGATATTTCCGACCAAGGCGAGCTCGTAGCCGAAGTTGATTGGCAAGATGAAGATGAGGAGGCCTGTTTATGAAGTTGTGAGTGACTTGAAGTTGTATGAAACAAGTATTGGTCTGATCAAGGGTCGGACTTACACCATGATAGAACTCTCTTGTTTTTGGAGAGCTCTGCAAAGCCAGAAGTCGGCTTCTCCGTCGTGGTTGACATTGCGGTTGATCCTGTTGCGCTACTGCTAATTTGATACGCATGGAGCAGTCAGAGTGGCTTGCAGTTGCTCCATCATGAATGAGAATGGACGCCGTCCACACCGTACTTATAATTCTCCAGCTTCAGACTTAGTCTGCGCACACTGATCCCCAACTTCTTGAGCCGTCGAACCACATGTTTCCCCATGGGCAGAGTCTGAATGCCCCCACATCGCATGCTGTGATCCCCGCAAACCCACTGAATTGACTCACGTCATTGGCCGGTCTTATTTCCCCGCGGAGGATTGTCGATGTCCCGTCGTTTCTGCCCGAGTCAGCTGCCCCTTAAAATACCTCTTTCATCACACTTGCTCGGCGATTCGGAGAATTGGATTGACAATACACTACAACCCGAAATCCAGATTACTGCAGATGACAAAACGAGCGTGTGATGGGTGCAGACGGCGCAAGGTCAAGGTGAGTTGCTAGACTTGTTGTTTTTCTATGCGTTGCTGATTGGCATAGTGCGATGGGAAGGAGCCTCGGTGCTCGAATTGCTTCATGTCTTCTCTAGCATGCGAGTACACTGTCCCAGCAAAGAAAAGAGGCCCTCCGTTCAAGATACACAAAGACGTGAATGAGCGCCGAGCCCGAACTAGCAATGCTGTGCAGACAATGGCCGAGGGCGCCTCGCCAGAAATTATCGACAGTTCACCTAACAACGACGCCGGTGCAGAAGTTATCTGCTTGAGTACACCCAGCGTTACAACCGAGATTAGAACCAGTCCCTTCCGCGAGGCGCAAGACGAACTTCTCTCGACGCTCGGAAAGGCGCTGCCATACGCGCCGTTGGAGCACGTTCTATCTACTTGTATCGACCTCTACATGCAATGGGAGTTTCCCACAGGTCCGGTGATCTGCGAGCCAATGGTGCGTCAAGCCGTCCCCATCGTCGTCCCAATTCTCCGGGGCGAAACGGCGATTCCCAGCAGCTCGGTTGCCGGGCCCTCCACTTCGGACGTATCGACAATACGTGCATTTGCTCTGTTGACAGGCATGTGCGCGTTTGTATCGTCCAGCCTTCCAAGCGACTTCTTCGTGCCAGGTAGCGCGTTGGCATGGCCCTTTCTCAGAACGTCACGCGAGGCTCTTCGGTTGTACCAAGATTACGACGTCGAGCATCCCGAAAGCAGTTCAGTGATTATCCGGTACTTCCACTCGAATGCGCTTCACGCGCTGGGAAAGACAAGGGTTTCGTGGCATGTTATGGGCGAAGCTCTGCGTCTTGTCCAGGAGATGCGTCTATATGATGAGACGAGTTTTGGAGGACTCGAGTGGCCTGAGGCCCAGCTGAGGAGGAATGCGTTCTGGCACCTTTACATTGGTGACAAGTCTGCCTCTATCCTGCAGAAGGTGCCTATTTCTCTACATCAAATGTGTCTGGATACGCCCATCACGACAATCTTCGACGAGAACATGGCATGCGGACTAATGGACTCGGCGCATGATTCAAGTAACGTCGCCTTCGAAGACCAACTACGCGTAGGCTTTTATCTCTGCTTCCGCCTCTGGTACACAGCGTCAGAAATGCTCATCGACCTGAACCTCCTGACTCGGCTCCAAAACAGGAGCAGCTCCTCCGCCACAACCTCCCCAGATACCACGACTCTAAGAAGCAGCATCATGCAGTCATACTTCGACTTGACGAGCATCCTGCACAATTGTCCGCCTTGGATAAGGGACCCTTCTTCCAGTACAGATACGTCCACGAACAAAGCTACGGCTCGGTTCCGGACTCGATCCTTTGCCACACAGAAGGCAAATCTCTTCGTCACGCTACACGCATTGCGTCTCGTGCTCCTATGCCGATTCGCCGATCGTGGGTTCGCAGAGATTTTGGGGCTTACTAACGATGCCACGATGTTGTCTCTCCGGAAGGTGGAGATTGCAAGTAACTTGTTGGAAATTGTCACCGAACTGCCGTTCGAAGCGCTCCAAGCGAATGGGGAGCCATGCGTGAGTCTTTTCTAGTGATGACATGAATCTTCACTTCTGCTGAAACCCCACTAGGTCGAGAAACTCCGCCAAGTCGGCGTGGCTCTGCTTGAAATCATCCACAGCGTGACCAACGACGCAATCTCCGCCCGCGCCAAGTCCCTCTTTGGCACGCTTCTAGACGTACTCGTGCGACTCAATTCCAGAGTCTCGGATGAGCTGAGCAATGACCGCTAGTAATGGCCAGATACTCTTCAGGAAGCCTGGACTTGTCTTTCTCCGCGCCAAGTGGGTTCTGCTCCAACATTGGAAGTGGGCTGTTTACATGTATAATCCTCCGCGGAGAATTGGACCCGCACCCCCCATCTCGCCGTATCCCCACTACGTGACACGCGGGGTGATATAAGATTGATGTGCCGACGGGCGGCAGGCGCAGAACAGTTGAGGCAATGACCTGATCTAGGCAACCTCGCAGCCGGATGACATATTCCGCGATGGCAGAGACGAAGACATTCCGCAACCCCGTCATCCCCGGCTTCGCGCCCGACCCGTCTGTGGTCTTCGTGGACGGGGTCTTTTACCTCGCCACCTCGTCTTTTCACGTCTTCCCCGGGATCCCGATATATGCGTCGACGGACCTCCAAGAATGGAAACACATCGGTTTGTGCCCTTGTCAGTGTCGCAGGATGGCTTCCAGGGCCGTGGCTAACAAAGAGGCAAAGGCAACGCGATCAACCGCAAAGAGCAGCTCAGCCTCGAGCGCGCCGAGACGGCGGTGATGCCCCTCGACACGGGCAACATCATGGTCTCATCCGCAGGCCTATTCGCTCCCTCGATTCGACACCATGAGGGCAGGTTCTACATCATCTGCACCAACGCAACCCGCTGCGACGGGGAGTTCTGCCTCGAGAACTTCTACGTTAGCACAGCCGACATATGGGCCGGCGAGTGGTCTGACCCGATCTACTTCCCCTTCCACGGTATCGACCCCAGTCTGTTCTTCGACGACGACGGGAGGGCGTACGTGCAGGGGTGCTGGATGATTGACCGCCTGAAGCAGCCGAGCTGCACGATCAAGCAATTTGAGATCGACATCAAGACGGGCGAGGCGCTTTCCGAGGTCAAGGAGATCTGGGGCGGGTTCGCGAAGTATGATACCGAGGGCCCGCATTTTTATAAGCGCGGGGAGTGGTACTATTTGCTTGTGGCTGAGGGCGGGACGTTTGAGCATCACATGTTGAGTATTGGGCGCTCGAAGAGTATTTGGGGCCCGTTTGAGTCGTGGAAGGGGAACCCCATCATGACTGCGGACGGGAAGGCGGAGTATGTACAGAATGTTGGCCATGGAGAGCTCTTTCAGGATGGAGAGGGGAAGTGGTGGGCTGCTGTGTTGGGGGTGAGGGATGAGGATAGGGCGCCGCCTTTGGGGAGGGAGACGTTCTTGACGGCGGTGGAGTGGCCGGAGGGAGGGTGGCCAAGTGTGCAGCAGCCGAGGACGGAGTTCCAGCGCGAGGTGAAGGAAACCATTGGAACGAGGAGAGATCTGCCGCCGTCGCCGAAGGATGTTGATCTGGTCTACATTCGGGATCCTGATTTTGAAAAGTACGAGTTCAGCGGAGAGGGTGACGAGGGGGCTTTTCGACTTCGGGCGAGCAGTTCCAGCATCTCATCCCCATCCGGTACAGCTACATTCGTCGGGAAGCGGCAAAGGGCAATGGACGCGAGTGCCTCGGTCATGTTAGACATTTCGGCGACGAAGTCGGGAGACCCTCTCGTTGCAGGCCTGGCTCTTTACAAAGACGCGCTGCGTCATGTTTCTCTCGCGTACGACTTTGCCTCATCGCGGCTAGTATTCGACGTCACAACCACATCGGAAGACAAGAAGCAGAGCGTCTCCCTGGATGCCGGCTCGGGGACAACTTCACTGAGCTTCCGGGTTGAGACGTCAGAGAAGGAGTACACGTTCTTCTACCGGGAGAAGGACAACGAGGATTGGAAGCAAGCGGGATCGGCATGTGTGGCAGATCTGGTCGCAAGAGAGATGACTGGGCCAAATTTCGGGTTGTTTGCTCATGCCTCCGGAGCCGAGGGTGTTGGAAAGGAGGCAAGATTTGACAAGTTCATTGTGGAGGGACAAAAGAGCTTGGTGTGGTAGATGGTATGACCGAGGCACTCAGGCAAAGCCTGGAGATCAGGAATAAAGCATTTGTGGCGAAACGGCCTCTTTGAGATTGATTGTCTCTGCGCTCAGTTTCAAGTAAATATTTTGATCTAGAAAATAGATCATCGCGCATGAGGTTGACTTCACGTCTCCTCATTCGTGGTCCTGAAATGCCGAGGTTCATGACGTAATCATGCCAACGACCATTCACCCCTCCATAAGCAATATCCCCCCTCTCTCGTGGAGGTATATCTACAGCATTTATTTTATATTCACGAGAATACTTTGTGGGACTCATCGCCGCTTCAGACTTTACCATAGGGATTCGTTGACCAAGATGGATCCTTCCAAATTGCCGGCCTGGAATCTCCCAGAGGGCGTCACGTCTCGGTTCGTCGACACGGCCCCAAAGGGCCTCAAAGTGCATATTCTCGAATCATTTCCTCAGAGCAAGTCATCGGACTCCCACGCTCCCCTCATTCTCTTACTTCATGGTTTCCCTAATCTGTCGTACGACTGGCGGTACATCTTGCCGCTGCTCGCGAACGCGGGCTATCACGCCGTAGCTCCCGACATGAGAGGCTTTGGAAGAACCCACAATTCCGACCTCAGCCCGATCGAAGAGGAGACCATTCGCCCTGTGTTCTCAGTTCACGACGTGGTGTCGCTTCTCGAGGGCTTACGCTACGATTCTATCCACACGATTGTCGGTCACGATCTCGGGGCCGTGCCGGCATCGCTCACGTCGATAATACGCAAGGACTTGGTCAAGTCGCTTGTTCTCGTGGCACACCCATTCAAGGGCATTCCGGGTCCTTCCGCCAACGATAATAAGGCTGGAGGGGACCCGGATATTCAGGCGTCTCTCGGAAAATTGGATCCTCCGAGAAAGCACTACAAGTACTACAACGCGTCGTCTGGTGCGGCTGATGAGTGGACGAATCCAACGGGTCAGCCTCTTCATGATTTCCTCAGGGGCTATTTCCATCTAAAGTCTGCGGGCTGGGCTGGGAACAAGCCGCATCCTCTGAAGTCATGGACGGCGGAAGAGCTGGTTGTTATGCCGCATTACTACGTCATGAGAGCAGACTTGTCGATGCGCGGAAACGTCGAACTGGACATGGCAGAAGAGTCTCCGAATGTTCTTGAGAAGCTTCCAGACACCCCTTGGCTTACTGATGCCGACCTTCGTGTATACTCTGAGGAGTTTGGCCGTACAAAGTTTGATCGCGCTTTGCAATGGTACAGGGCCATCATCGACCCCAAGCAGGCGGAGGACCTTCTCCCTTTTTCGGGGACAAAGATAGCTGTGCCGACAAAGTATGTCTCTGGTACAGCTGACTGGGGAACATACCAAGTCCCGGGATCCCTTGAGGCCATGGAGGATGGGACCAGCGTCGAGCCTGGTTGCTGGCGGGGGGCAGTACACATTGATGGCGCGGGGCATTGGGTGAATATGGAACAGCCAGACAGGTGTGCTGAGGAGATATTGGCTCTGGCGAGATTTGTTTGAAATTGCTGCGCGTCCAAAGGGGTGTCTTCATCCAGGTTTATGACAGCGATGGCCTCCCTGGACGGGTTCTCAGCAAAGTAGGGGCCGATAGTGCTTAGATAATCGAAAGCCCTTCTTTTGACGTTCCGCATCGTGAGGCATGGGTGATTCGCAGTTTGGTGTTGATACGCAGCCGTGATTCAGTCAGTTTAAGTCCAGACTCTGACCAAGTCCAGTGGTGTTTGCGTACTTCGTATTTCCCACACGGGCGAGCTTTCAGAACTCTCTCAAGTAGCGATTTGATAAGTTCTGCTCATCGTATTGTATATTGTCAAGCTCGACGCGTTAACACGCGTGGAGCTTGAGGGTCGTTGCTGGCGAGGAAGGAGCGATGTCGGTCAACCACCTGCCACCTTCGCTCGCTCCTTCCACCACGGCAGCGAAGGTCGAACCTTCCTTTCGGAGATGCTTCCATTCCAAATTTTCTCTCCTGCCTCTCGCGACGCGGAAAGCCCCCTGCCGGCCACCCTTCGACGCCTTTCCCCGACTCCTGCCCTTTCCTCTCTACATCTTCCCCCCTTCCGCCTCGCCGACTCTGCAAATTTCTTCCCTTCGCAACCAAAAAAACCCCATTCCCCATCAACTGTCACCTCAATACTTGGCTTCCGATTTGTACTATCGTACCACACAGTTGTCTGCATTTTATCGTTTTACTTGCTTCTATTCGCACCGCGCAATCTCGCGATCTCACCCCTGGCCATCACAATGTACGACCAGGCGGTACTTGACGAGCAATGGGCCATCGCCAGAGGCCTCCCCCCTGACGACCGGAAAGCTGCTGAAGGCATTATTCGTCTGGCAGAAATGATGAACGCGGAGGAGCGCCAAGAGGCTGAGGCCGAACGTTGTGCCAGCGGGGACGCCGTCGCCACCCAAGATGCGAACGAACCTGTCGAGCAGATGACCGACGACGCCCCTCAAGCCATCACCAACGACGATGATGTCGCTTCCCATAGCACAGCTTCTGCAGAGACCGCCATTGATGGCTCTGGTGGCCAGAACACTGGTTTTGCGAACGCCATCACCGATAACGACGATCTCACCGCCGGAGGCTTCGTCAACGACACCTTCGACATCGACGCCTTCACCAATGACACGTTTGCGGATTTCAACTCCAATTTTGAGAGTTTCTTCCCTGCTATGGACGGAACTGACAAGCAGACCGCCAACGATGCTGCTGAGGTTACTCGCGTCGTCGACACTACAGAGCAGGACAGCGAGACCGCCTCTGAGCAGTTAAGCGTCCCTTCGGAGGTTATCTCCCCTGCGACCGCGCAAAGTAAGTGGAAGCCTTCTGTCCATTGTTTCCCGCACAGCTGACACGCCAGCAGCCACGCCACCGGCTCCGTCCGACAGCCCGGTCATGTTAGATGCTGCGAAGCCTGCAACTGCTCCAGCCACCCAACTTCGCGACCGAGAATATCCCTGGCAGGACACGACAGGCATCTGGCCGCCTCGGACTCCATCGGGAATCTTGGGTATGTTTTCACTTCTCCTCAATGAAAAGCCACAAGCTAATTATTCGCAGTCCAGAGCCCTCGTCTGCCTCCGCCTCAAGCTGTCTTCCACGGTGCATCTTCCCACACACAGCGTCTGCCGCCTCGCTGCCAACCCGTGACAGCCGCAGCAACTCCCATTGTCGCCAGAACATCAGTTGGAGAGTATCAAAGACCACACAGACCACTTCCTCTGCGAACATCAAGCCAACCAGCCGTTCGTCCCACTTTCAATCAGTTCTCAGGAAGAATGACCACGGTGAACAACGCGTCCGCCAGTATGCCCACCAGCATTCCCTTCAGAATGCCCGCTACCACGTCGAGCGACATGGCAACTACGCAACAGTGGATGAGTAGCCGTGCGTTCAACAATATTCAGACAGGCCATGCACCTCCAGGCCTCAACACCTTCAACGATGCGTCCTACATGGCACAATATGGCACTCAACCGGCAGCTTTGCTTTCCCAAGGACAGACTCAACAGACTCAACTTTCAACGGGTGGGTTCGAGCAGCCGCCAATTTCTATTACGCTGTTCCAGTGTCAGATGCTGCAGCGCCAGTTGGAACAACAGCAGATGCAGTTGGAGGCCTTGATTAGTATGCAGCAGAACAATATGCAGAACAACATGCAGCCTGCTGCTCCAGCAAGCATGACGCAAACTGCGCACACTCATAACCACCGCCGAAAGCGAGCATCAGCAACGACCCAGGAATCCTCTGGCGTTACTCAACCACCAGCGAAGAGAGCCAGGACCCAGCGGCCACCGCTGCAGTCAAACACGTCTGCTGGAAGAAGCGTTCCCCGAACCACGAGCGCACCTCAGCCTGGCAACTGCGGCGCGGTTTACTCAGCCCCAGATTCGGTGTCATTTGTTCCCCACTAGGTCGCGGAGCAGTCTGCAGCGTATCTTTGGTAACAGCGTCAAGTATCCCAAAATGGTATTGATGTGTGCTTCTGATACCATCTGTGTAACATCATCCAGAGACTGGCTTTCAAAGGAGCCGACACTGCTTTCATCAGTTCTATGCACATTGCATCACTCTACTGGCTTTTCTTTTGTTCTTCTCGATGGAGGTATGGGGACTTGGGGTTCCTTAGTGTTATGGGACACTCATGGTATTCTTTCTTATGTTCTTTGTTTCCTTTCGACTTTGATAACCAATAGGCCTTTTTGGTCACTCCATGAATACAATCTATGCTAAAGCAACTCTTCTCCAAGTGAATATTACCTGTGAACCACGCGGCCCCATCATAAGCACGACCAGGCTTGCTGCCGATATCAATCCTGGTGGGTCAAGTCCGAGGCAAATACAGGTGAGTCACTGCGTATTCTCAGAGGCCCCATTCCAGTGTCACACCCAGGAACCAGAAAAAACCTTCTGATTTCATGGTGTTACTCAAGATGTGTTATTCTTATGGGCGTAACTGGCGTATCTTGCGAGTGGGCCCAGCGACTGCAGCATCCTGGATTCATTGCTTCGTATTGCGCAGATCTTCAATGCGAAACCGAAGTTGATGCTCTTTCATTCCGATTGGACACTGTTCTGAGCGTTGCAAATGTTATTTAAAGAGACCTCATGGGCAGCCATGAGACTGACGGACATGAACAAATTTTCCTCGGATCCAACTCAAACAATCTCAGTCAACTTGACATTATGAGCGGTAAGTTCAACCCCAAACATACCCTAAGTGATCGGAAATTTGGAGCATGCACTTGCTCATGGCCAAGTTCCAAAAGCACTCGCATCCTCCCTCCCGTCCAACCTCCCCCCGCCCGTCGACGACGGCGCCTGCGACCATGTCCCCGGCCTCTCCCTCCCGAGCATCCCGCGCTCAACCGCCACGTCTCCGCCCTCGCGGGACTCACCCTCATCTTCGTGTACCCCCGCTCCACCGCCCCGGGCGAGGTCATCCCGCCCGAGTGGGACGCCATCCACGGCGCGCGGGGGTGTACCCCGCAGGCATGCTCGTACCGCGACAACGCGGCGCGCCTGGCGGGTGCCGGGGTGGCGCACCTGTTTGGCGTGTCGGCGCAGACGGTGGAGGTGCAGAGGGAGTTTCGGGAGCGGGAGCACTTGCCTTATGAGCTGTTGAGTGACGCGGGGCTGGAGATGGCAAGGGGACTGGGGCTGCCTACGTTTGAGTATGGGAGGATGAGGTTGTTGAAGAGGGTTACGATGGCGGTTGAGGGCGGGAGGGTGGTGACGGTTTGGTATCCTGTGTTTCCGGCTGATAGGAATGTTGAGGAAGTGTTGGAGTGGTTGGAGGGGCGGAGGGTTGGAGGGAGGGAGTGAGTTGGGATTAGATGTGGGAGTTAGGTAGCCAGTTATGGGCCTCATCATGTACGTGATGGCTCAGATATTTGGCTTACGTTACGACTTTGACGAAGCATTCGCGGACCCCGATTCCCCGGTCGACAGGGAGAAAAGAATGGCCTATAACGCAGTTCATGACCGGAAGTTTTTTTTGCTGGGATCTTGGCCTCAATTAGGAGGCTCTCCAATTGTGTGCCTTGAGCAGTCAAGCTTTTGCAGTCGTTGCAGTAATCCATCCCATTCACTTGCTGGAGCAGATGTGCAAGGGCAGATGATAAGATCAATGGCGACGGCACATAAGTCTAAATTTTAGCAGCACATGTCAGACGAGAATCTACAAAGAGACTGATTGCCATGGCGCAGAAAGAAACCGGCAGTATTCAAAGTGAAGCTTCGACATTCGTCCAACGTGATCTGTAATATAGGTAAATGACAAGCCTGGGTCTCGACGACAGACGGATTTCTAATCATGCAGGCTGACAACTCGTGCCAGGTCATGCGCCAATTCCGACTGTCGATAAGCCTTCTCCCTTCGCCTTTCGACCACGTTTTCTTCGCGGGGTTGCACGCGTTTTGCAGGAAAGCCAGCTGCGCCTTCTGAAGTAAGCATTTCGAGCTGCATATTAAACAACGTGATGAGTGGGCCGTCACTGCTACCTATCACTCGAAATGGAAGTAAGCGCCGAGACTTCTGCTTCGGTTGTCATCACAATTCAGCCGGGGCGTTGCTTATCCTGCGAGCTACATGAATGCTAAGTGGTGTGGGTGACAAGGCTACCAATTGGCGACCAGCTTGGAGGAGTCGCTAAAGAACACTCTTTCGCCCCATGCATGACCCTCAACTCTTGGGAACACATATCTGGGCAGGCTGGGCGCCCGGCCTGAGGGACATCATCTTGGCAGCCTTTCTTCCCGCCCAAGAGCTTTTAAAGCTGTTGCTTTCGCAACCTACCTATCAGATTTCCTCGTCCCTCATCTCCATCTTCAACTCGGTCTTGCCTTAGGAAATCGGCACTCTATTATGGATCCTACATCCCAGGATCCGCATAATCAACAGCCCGGCGATCATGTTGAGCCAACACATGATCGCCTTTCAGCACAGCCACTGTATGAAGATAGTGGCCAAGAAAACCTTGACGGTAATGGGCAAGTTCAGCCCAACGTATCAGACAACGCGGTGTTTGGTCCAGAGCAGGAAACCAGGCTTCTTTTGTTTCTAAAAAGCCTGCATGAGGAAAGCAACAACAATGCAGATGATGCGGTCTCCATTCCCGTCTCCATCGGCGCCAACGATGCGGCCTCTGAGGCAGCTATCGACAACGTTGCTATCGACACCAGTCTTAATCTCACCGATGATACCGCTGCTGATACGACCATCAGGGCACCGGTCGCTGATCCCGAGGTTGCCTTGCGACCAGATCTTGAGGAGATGCTGCGGGAAGAGGTCAATGTCCCATCCTTGCAGCCGCCGCATCAGACCCCCTTGCACGTCGCTCTTCGGAAAGACCTCAATAAGATCACCAAACAACTCATCGAAGCCGGCGCGGATGTTAATGCATTGGATGAAAACGGTGTGCAACCTTTACACATCGCTTGCGACAATGGCAACACGGAATTGATCAAGCTGCTCTTGGATAAAAGAGCCACAACCAGAGGTCCAGACCAAGATGGATGGTGTCTCCTCCATTACGCAAGCTACTATGACATAGATGCAGACTTGTTGGAGCGGCTTATCGAAGTCGATCGCAACAACTTGAACCATAAGGAGTCGTTCGAGGGTTGGACGCCAATCAATCGGGCCGCTTGGTTTGGGCGCCAAAACGTTGTTGACGCTTTGCTGAAAGCGCGTGTGAATCTTGGAATCGCGGATAAGAATGGTTGGACACCAATGATGACGGCCATCGAAGAAGAACACTTCAAGATTTTCGACAAGATGGTTGATCATCTTGCTGACATTGGACCAAATGACGCTGATATTTCCAAAGGAGTCATTGACCAGCGCGATGACGAGGGAATGACAGTCCTGATGACGCTCTGTGATGCTGATCCAAGTCCGACCACAGAAGCCTCACTTCGGAACTTTCTTCATAAGCTGCAACCAAGCACCGACATCACCGACAATATCGATCAAACAGCGCTTAACCACGTAATGGCTTTAGCAAAGAGATCTAACAGCCCTTACGCATGGAAGATGGCATTGGAGATGATCAAATGGTGGCCGGAACAAGATATTTTGAGGCGGAGCAATGAGGCGGCCTTCGACGATATCTTTGACAATATAGAGGACTCTGGTAAACTGCTGCAGACTCTGGCTAATCGCCTCAGGGAAAACTTTGCCTTGCGAGACAAACTGCTATGTCGGCTCGCAATGAGAACGGAATCACACCCAGCCGCTATTGAGATCTTGTCGAAGCTAGAGCTTCATCAGCGAATCGAAGCGCTAGGATATAAGGAGAAATGGACGCTCGTTGACTGGGCGATATACCATCGAATGCCTCGAGTATTGCTGAACTGCCCTGCTGCTAATGACTTGACTCCAGACCACGGCACCTATGGGACCAAAATCATCAACCAATTAAGGGAACTACATTCACATTCTGATTCATACGAGAAGAGAAATACCGATCGCAAGGATGAATTGACCCCGAGGAAGGTCTTGGACGAAATGGAAGACATTCTGAACTCCCTTCCCCAAATGAGAAGTGAGCAACAACCTAAGACGCGTTGGAAGGTTCTGCAGCCCAGCGATGAAATGGGTAGGTGCCTGGCGGATTATAAAGCAGCAGTTGTCAGGTTTCGCGACAAGGAGTTAGAGGCGCTCAGGTTTCGAAAGGTCAGCAATATCGTCTACGGCGATTCATCAATCGAGGTGATCACAATAAGCCAAATACAAGAATCTGTGTGGAAAGAAGGAACAGCTACAGAGTTTGCGAAAGAAAACACACCCGACACCGAAAGCAGCTTCACCTGGGTTCATCTACCAGCCACCAATGTAAGCCAAAGGCAACCCACAACGTTTGTGAAAACAAGCTAATGACGGATAGATGGACTGGATGAAAGTAAGATATCTTTGGCTTTACAATTCAAAGGAGATAGGCTAAATAGCTGACCTCATTTTTACTTAGAACACCGGGATGAAGATCATGAAAACGCAAGCAGAAAAGGAGAGAGGGCCCCAAGAAAGGCTGACTTCGTTTCTACAAGCCAGCTGGGTTCAGGTACCTGATAAAACTTCACCGTCACGATTCATGCGTCCTCGGTACGTCAGAATGCAGCAGGATGAAAGTCAGGACCCTCACAAATACAAAACCCAGAGTGAGCATATGACAATTTACCATAAGCTTAAAATGATCAAGTAAGATAACACAAGCCTAGACCAAAGTAAGGCGAGAGATGCTGCTGGATCCAACGAAAGAGCCCCTCCCCAGGATGATGGTAAACCTGAATCTACCAACTCTCGTGAATGCCCAGCATCGGCACTATATGTAAGATGAAGATGGATTTTCCTTTCTCATGCTCAGCTGCTGAAGCTTTCAATAAGATGCCATTTCTTGTAGTCTCGAAATACGACGAACAAATGGAATCTATGAAGCGGAACGAAACCTCTGGGCCACAGCCTTCCCAACGTCAACATCTTTTCAGCGCTTACGAAGGCTCTGTCATGCATGACTCTCCAACATTGGACGAGCATTACTACCACTTTGCTGAAGACGAGGATTCCACCAATGACCGAAAAGGACGCAACAGGACGCAGGTGATCTCCAAGTACCTGCACATGGGGCCGTATGCAGATGAAAGCGACATGCCCAGGACAATCCTGCGCGTTAGCCAGCTTTGGGCATGGACCATTGGTGACAGTAAATCAAACCTTTTGAGGGCATTCACTTCTGAGGAGTACTGATCACTCTCATAGAATGGCTTGTCACATCAACATCTTGCGCCAAGGTAGACGGAGCAAACACATTTGTAGCAGAAATCCGCCAGCATCTTCGCCGTCGAGACGAGGACGGGAGTCTCAATGGCGGATTAAGTTCGCCTCAAGAATTGTGCAAGATTATTGCAGAGTATTGCATTGGTGTTTACGAAAGGAAACATAAACTTGAGAAGTGGACTTCTGACCCGAGCAAGATCATCCGGTACACTGAAGAGCGGTCAATTCGCCAAGTCTTCTCCGATTTCATCAATAAGATTGTCAGCTGAGTCGCATCTCAGTCAATGGAATATTAGCTGACTCGCTTCATAGGGAAGAGAGGAAGCGGACTTGTTCCGCCAGTTCTCCAAACAACCTGTTGAACTAGATGAAAAGCATTCCAAAGCCAAGGACCACTCACTCACAATCACGGCTGTTCTAGGTGCTACTAGGAAGGCGGCCAATCTTCTATTCCAAATCAAAGACGTCCGTGACGAGCTACACATTCTGAAAACTGTTGCCGACTACCAAGAGAAAGTTCAGAATAGCTTGGACGAAGCCATTCACAGTGCTAGCAACGCAGCATTTGAGGAGAATATGAAGGCGAAATATGTCAGAAATGACATCGACGAGCTGGACAGGCTTGCTCGCAACATTCAGGAGGCTGTAAGCGAAGAATCAACACTCCTTTTCGCTACTGGGTTCTAATGTTATTTGCAGTTGCAAACGACTCTTACTCTTCACGAAAGCGAAATCGCCAATCGACAGGCCAAAGAAGCTGTGGATCAGGGAAAGAGAGTCATTATATTCACGGTCGTCACTGTCTGGTTTGTAAGTTCTTTGGGGCAATTCCTAGCCTCCTGCTTCCAATGCTGAAGATTAATCCAGTTACCTCTTTCGTTCCTCACCAGTCTGTTTGCCTTAGATGTGGAGTCCTTCCTTGGCGCACCTTGGTGGTCTCTGGTAGTCATTCGTATGGCCCCTTTCGTAAGTCATGCTTGTCGTAGTGTCACATGCTTACATCACTGTCACAGTAACTGTTCCTTTACCTTTCCTTCTTGTGGCTGTCGGGTATATGTACGACTGGGACATCGGAAAGTTCTCTTCTCTAGGACACAAAGATGGGGCAAACCACCTCGACAATGCAGGTGCAAACAAGACATCGGGTAAATCCGATCGCCCCGGGATCCTACGTGTACGTAGAAGATTGTGGGCCAAGAAACGTGAAGATCAGGATGGGGAAATTTCTGTATAATTCCAGCCATATGTTCTTCGGAATATCGTCGAACTTCTCTTCGATTATTTATTCGGGCAAAAACCACGATCTGATTTTAACTGAAGCGGTTGCAAGAAACAAAGGCTCATCTGAGTGATGTTTCGAAGCTCACGAGGCCTCATAGAAGGTTTAATCTCACCTAATAATATCTTTGGAATGTTGAAAAGACGATGCTACACATGAATCATGACTCGAGACCTGCGACTGGAGGACTTGGAAAGTCTCCGTCCATGCTACGTAGGCCGGGGAGAATATCCCCGCAATGTTCCCGCTTATCGCACAAACACAAAATGAGGTGTTCTCATTTGGGAAACTTGACTGTGAGCTCAGGCCAATTCGCCTGGCATGGATATTACTGATCACACCGACGACGGCTGGTTCAAAACTCTCGGTCCGCAGACTTGTCCCTGAAAACAGTGGTCAAACCTCCGAAACCCAATAAGCTTCCTAATGTAGCCGGTCCGGTGGGTTGCGCAATGGTTCTTGGCAAACGGATGGGATTCAGAACTAGCATCGCGGTGCCGGATCAGATTGTCCAAATTATTTATTCTGCTGCTCTCCCGACAGATCTCTTGTGCACCGGCGCATCTACCCTCGTCTGAATCCACATATATACCAAACGGGCCTCAACTCAATAAAACGTCGGCTCTCAAGCTATTACACCCTTACAATCAAAATGAAGTTCTCAATTATTGCCGTCGCCCTTTCAATTTTCGCGGGAAACGCGTACGCTCTACACGTAAGCCAACACCCTCGATAATCCCGCCCCTTATGTTTCTTGTCTGCTGTTGCTTTCGGTTTCGGTCATCTCAAATACCCGATCCTTATAAGCTCGGTTCTATTGTATTCAAATTGTCTAACAGTATGTTGCAGAGGTGCTCTTGCCAACTTGGGTCGTCGTGTCTAAGCTTCTCTCAGGTTGAAGACAACCAGAGCTGCAGCGCCTTCTGCAAAGCAAGCTTCAACAATGCCAAGACGTGCTGATCATAACTACTGCAGACGTTGAAATGGCAGAGTTGACATAGAATTACTATAGAAAATATTGATTCGGCGTTCCCACATAATTTTATCAGATTTCCATAGAGAACCAGGGATGGCTCCCACCTAAATACACCACAACCCTAAAGTCGACACCGCTGTTGTTGTCCCTGGGGTTCCTCTTCATATGATGACGTCTCGCAGTGTAGGCGCATTGTAGGTGACGATCGGAACTCAGCTGGCGATAGACGATCGCCAGTCCAGGCCCTCCCACAATGCTACACTAGCTGAAAAACTCCACGCGTATGCACGATAAGAGCGCAGACCAATCAGGCGACTGGTCTTGATGCACCCCGTCAGACGGCACCCAGTAAGACTGGGGGAGCCATCAGCCTAAACCCCTCTTTTTTTCCAAAAACACCGCACAATTTTGCACAAGAACTCAGTCCGGTGCGTCGCTGATGTGGCAGCCTTCATTCGGGCGTTGGTTGCATGTGAGCGCATCCGATGGATGTACACGCCTTCCGGGACATGACCCTAGTCCCAAGTGACTTGGGTTACTGTCCCGGTTGTTATGAATTCTTTGACTTCTTCCCGCCTCCCAGGTCAATTACCAGCTTCAGTAAGACATTCAACCTGAAGAAACGCAGAACTGTACAAGAGTCCTCCTCCACCTGCCAACTTTGCCAGCACGTTTACCGATTCTTGAAAGATGGTTATGGGTCTGACTTTGACTTGCCGGATGAACCCGGCGACCGGCACGCCGTTGACGTCGCAGCGTCCAAATACTTTCTATCAGGGCTCAGCAGCGATCCTTTCTCGAGTCTTGGGTTGAGTTGGAAGAGCCCAAGTACAGTCCAGCCTTTGAAGTTGGCCGTCTGGGCTGCCAAAGGCAAGCAAGCCCACCTGGGACATGGAAGCATCTGACCAGGGTGCATGGTCTGTTAACTAGCGCCAACAAGTATAGGCACACCCGCATCAAAGATTTTGACTACGCGGCCTCCAATTCTGGATGAAGATCCGGCCAAAATAGCCGTGCTTGTTAGAGAATGGCTGGATCACTGTACGGCAGACCATCAGCTCTATCAGCAGTATCAAGGCAACGCTTCCCCAAATCAATCAGACTCTGGGACCATGGCGGCTGTGAAGGCCCCCCAGCTGCCGAGGCGGATTCTTTCCGTTACTCGGAATGTGACCAACGACATATCCATCAAGCTTATTGAAAGTAAAGGCACCTCTGGCTCCTACTGCGCCCTTAGTCATTGCTGGGGGCCTGTTGAAAAACAGCCGTTGAGAACAACGAAACAGACTCTCAAAGATCGTATGTCCAACATACCGTTCAACGATCTACCGGCTACATTCCGCGATGCCGTCTCTCTTGTTGCATATCTGGGCATCGAATACTTGTGGATCGACTCATTATGCATTGTGCAAGATGACCCTGAGGAGTGGCTTCAAGAGTCTGAAAGCATGGGACCAATATACACAGACGCCACCCTAGTTCTCGCCGCTGCTGGTTCGAATGATTCGACCGAGGGATTATTCATAACAAGGCGCCAGCATCCAAACATTTTCACCCTTCCATTTTCACCTTATTCTCTTCGAACTGGGAGGGCTTTGACATCACAAGGAGAGTACAAATTAGCCATTCTCTCCCAAGAATCTTCAATGCCATCTTTAGGTCCACTACATCAGCGAGCTTGGGCGTACCAGGAGTGGTATTTCGCACACCGAAAAGTACTTTTCATGCCGGGAGGTATATCATGGGCGTGTTCACATCGAGAATCACACCGAGAATACAATGAACGCTGGAACTACTCAGAGCCTCAAAAGCTTTCAAGTTCCTGGCTGGGAATTCTAAGCCAATACACTGCAAAGGCTTTAACATACCCATCAGACCGACTTGTTGCGATTCGAGGCATCGCAACGGCGAAAACCGGGTCGTCCAATCTGTTTAGGCACACGCTCTCTAGCGGCCAAGCATCTTCTTCCGAGAAGGAGGTTGTGGAAGACAGAGCAGCCCTCATAGATCTGAAGCCTGTATTCAGATTTGGCGTGTGGAAGGCACAGCTGACCGAACAGCTTCTCTGGCTGCCCATGGAGAAGCCATATGAGAAAGACGATTTGCCGAACCTTCCGTCATGGTCTTGGGCCGCCTCGGGAGGTCACAAGGTCTGGCCCGTAAGACACTTGCTAGCTAACGTGCCAGTCAATATGACAGGGCCCGTGCTGAGAAAGACGGGGGCAATCCGAGCTGCAGGATTCTTTTTCATGGTTAAGTTAGGCTTACTGCAGGAATGCTGCGTCACTTACCTGTCGGATGAGGTCAAACACGAAAGCATTGCACCAACCCTGCAACGGTCCGAAAGCATCGAGCTATCGTTTCTATCGAACAATTCTGCCGAGCCTGGGAGGCAGTTGAGGAATTATCTCTTACGTAGCCCACGCGGCATTGGAGAAGGCAAGGTTGTCGGGATGGGAAGGCTTGATCGGGATCTTTCGCCTAAAAACATGTTCTTTCTGATCCTTACTTCGGTTCGCCGTCAAACACTTGACCTGTGGTAAGACAACTGTGCTCAAGTTTATTTTCCCGTTTCTGTACTGATCAACATCAATAAGTCATCCTCACTTTCTGGAGGACAATCTTATCCACCGTGGTACGCACTCGTGCTGCTGTAGGACAAGCGCTGAGGCTCGGGATCATGGTTCTTGTCTGCATAGCAATTCGGTAGGATTTTGGTATGGTCATCACCACACTAGTCTGCTAACTTATAAGAACGAGTGCGTAGATTTCCTTACCGTGGGAAGCTCCGAGATGGTATATTGGGGACTCTTACTTCAGCGCCCTGGCAATGCATCGAAACGAATATTGAAGCGAGTAGGAGTCGGGTTTGTCTACCCTCGAAGCATGCGACTTGTTGAGGACCAAGAAGGACGTCCAATCGAAACAAAGATTGAAATCATATGACGATGACAATGATGATACGAACATAGCGGAATTAAGTTTCGAGCTCTAAGAATAAATTTTATCTAGACCGTAGATCTAGAACACTTCAGAAGCCTTCCCAGCCATCATCACCTGATGCTCCCTCTCATAAGGTGTAAACTCAATGCCACTTCCCCCCGACTCCTTCTTGTCTTCTTCAACGCCCTTCAGGGCAGGCCTGACGTACTTTCTCCAAGCCTCAGGATGAATACCCCCGTTTCTCTTCACCATTTTGTTGATGGGCAACTGCCTTGTCCAACTCATGAGCGTTTCATACGCCTCTCCGTCCTTTCTTCCGATCGCGCTTCCCAACCCAGCGTCTGTGAAGTCCCACGCATCAGTAAGCCCAATTGCATCTGGCAGAAGCTCGTCCAACAGCCTTCCGAGCGTATGCCGAATCTCATCCAACTGCTCCTCCGACAAGAACCCATCCACGACAAAAGCCAAGGCGTCCGCTGACTGCGGGTTCACAATCGTCGACAACGCAAATACCGACCTCAACCTCTCCAATACACACTTCACCTCTTCATCCTCGACCTTTTCTACGGCTCCGACAAACTCCCTTAAGATCAGATACTCAGTATGGGCCCTCGCAGCACTCATCAACCCCATGACACACTCATTCCACGCCTCTCCCTTTGTCTTCCCCTTCTCCACTCCCCTCCTCAGTCCCCTCGCCGCCCGATCAACCAACCTCTGAGCCCGGTGTTGGAAGATCAACAACTGTGTGTTCTCATCTTTCGGATCTCTGAAGTCAGCCTCCGTACATCGCCTCGTATACGGCGCTGCAAGATACCTCAGGTCTTCAGGCAACCCTTGCTCCCCTGCCTTCCCTGCAAATCCCGTGAACTTCATCAGATACCTCGCCAGCTGCTGGAACAACACATGAGTATCCCCTTCGCCAGTACACATCATCGCAGAAGTCTGCACCAGCTCCGGCAAACCCGAAGTAACAAGATATCCCTGCCCACCACAAGCCCTTCTCGCATCCTCCGTCCCCTCAGATGCAATCGCCGACGACCACGCTTTCATCCCCGAAATAAGCGCATGCGCGTCCGTCATCGTCGAAAAGTCGCCCTCCTCGCTCCTCCGCTCAAACTCCCGATGAACCTCCTCGGTATACTTCGACGCAAACAAGATACCATACGCTTTCGCCACCAACGTCAACAGCCGAAAATTCTGACTGCGGAAGCTCATCAACGGAACCTCCTCGTCATCCCCCTTCCTAAAAGGCAGCGTCCCCTGCACCCTCACCGTCGAGTACCTCGTCGCAATCGTCGCGGCCGCAGCAAGCTGCACGCCGTTAACCCACGTCATCTTCGACCTCGTCACCATCATCGTCCCATACGCAGCCTTCTCATGCGTCCCCTCCCTCCTCTCATACACTCCATCCCGCCCAACCACCGCCTGCGCCATCAACATATTCCCCCTCGGCACCCTCACCCCCTCAAACCTCACAAACCCATTATCGTTCTGGTTATGGCTCATCTTGACCCCGATGTCCCCCAACTCAACCCCCTCCACCGGCCGCCCCGTCTCCACGTCCCTCAACTGCACCATGAACGGATGCACCCCCTCATCCCTACCCCGTGTAACCAACCGCGCCATCACAATCGCATGCGACGCCGAAAACGCAAGACTCACCGGCCAGAACTTGGTACTCGCCGCGCCCCCAGGCGACCTTATTACAAACTCGTCCGTCGCGGGATCAAACTCCGCCACCGTCTCGAGCCCGCGCACAAACGTCCCGTGGCCCAGCTCCGTCTGCACATACGCGCCGTTAATCCGCCCCGCGAGCGCGGGCGCGAGCCAGCGCGCCTGCTGCGCCGGCGTCGCCATCAGCTGCAGCATCTTGACGAACATGGCCGGCGAGAGGCCGAAGGGGGAGTAGTTGAAGAGCGTGTAGCGCGGCGTGAGCCAGTCGAAGTGGGCATGGTTGTGCGTCCGGCGGTCTTCCCACACGGCGCGGCCCATGCGGAGGCCGTCGAGGTATCTTGGGCACGCTCTTGGTCAACACAGTGGTCGTTTGCGGGAACGGGGGGGATGTTCGAGATGGAACTCACAGGTCCTCGCGGCTCGTCTTGGCATAGTGCCCCGGCAGACGCGATGTATCATCCGTCCCGAGCGCCTTCTCAACCCTCGCCCAAGCCGCGCGCCGAGCGCGGACGACTGACGCCCCGCCGTAGATGAGGTTGGTGAGCTTCTCGACGTCGAAGCTCGTGCGGGAGCGCGCGTTGGCCATGGCCAGCGCCTGCTTCGATATCGACTTCAACGCGGCGGGCATTTTGGTGTGAAGGAGGCCCCAAGCTTCGGCAAGAAAGTGTTTGTAGCAGGTGTGTGTACGCACACCTCCGCGGGATGTCCAGGAAGGTAGGTTCCTCTTCATAAGTTCTCGAGCATCCCCAGAGGCCTTCCCACCGTAATACGCATCGGAGACCGAAACTCATGCCCATGCTCACCCGACGTGACTGCAGAGAAGTTGGATGTTTACCCACTTCCTGAAAGGAGACATCGTAACCGCCCACGGGATGGATGGTACGAGAATAATTGAGTGGCTCCCGTCCTTCTGTCACTTGGTGTTGCCAAGCTCGGAATGTGGCCAAGTCCATATGAACACTCTCATGTTGAACTCCACAGGCGATTGCAACCCCTTTCGTGAAGAGATCGCCTTCATCACTCTTAGGCTGTTCGCGGTCTTCAGTCATCAAGCAGACGGGTTAGGAGAATACGACGTCCCTCTAACCTCTTGATAGGACTCGTCCCATGCCAAATAACGTCCCTCGACCAGCCTGAAGAAACCAATCCAAAAGACCATCCCATGCCGAGGCTAAGACCTTTTACAATTGGTTACCTTCCATCTTATCAGATCAAACCCGCCCCTCGGACAAAGAAAATGGGCCGGCCCGAGTTCCCACCCTCCATCCATCCATCCAGGGGCCGATCCCCAATCGTAAGTTTGACAGTCCTCCATCCAAGGATCCCACGCGGCTCACCTACCCAATACAGCAATCCTCTTACAAACCTCGCCAAGACCACGACGCCGTCAGATTAAGCCTCGACAACAAAGAGATCCAGTTCGGTGGGGGGACGTATGTATCCCGTCGGCTTTTGGCCGATGGGTCCTACGTAGTACGGGCTCCCTCCGCGACGTCTCTACCCCCCCTGTACACAGAACGGCAGCTTTCCGCGAGCAACATGGCCTGGACTTATTCTGATACCCGAAATCCGAAATGCTTTTTCCGTCCTCGACGAGGACTGGAAAATCTCTCAGCCGGCAACCACGGAGCACCTAACATGATCCGATACTCTTCAATACGATATAGCTTGTAAGACGCAGCTGAATGGCGTCGATCTGTTAATAGCTTGAAGCGTATCATTCAAGACTTTCACTTTCTAGAATACAAACAAAACCTAGGTGAAATGAAAAGAAAAAATCAAAAAGCCCAATACTATATGCACAGACGCATCGATCAATAACTTGTGCGAATATACAAGTCGCGTAGCATGTTATACTCTACGCCGTACACGCAAATAAATACCATCTCAATGGGCACAGATCCCCAAAGTCGCGCTAAATCAGCCGGTTCTCAGTAGTTATTCCCATCTTAACGCAGTCCTGAGGAATGTCAGACGTCAAATACATTGTACGCAAATACAGACCTAGCTAGCATGTCGCAGCCCGCATGCGCGCGGTGCAATTCCTCCACCACACAACACCATACCATGCAGCTCTTCATCAGCTTATGCGCCCCTCCGAGCCGCCTTCACCCGCCGGTGGGATCCCACCATCGCATGTCAAAGATCCATCGCCGACAGCAGGATCTGATCCTGGCTCTTCGATGTGGGAGATGTGTCATTTGTCCCGCTTAATCTCGCGTGGTGGTGTGAGAGGTTAGAAAACTTATCGGAGATAAGACACACAGACATCGGCGATCGGGAGACGACGCATGGCCCTTGCTGATTGAAGCCTCAGGAAGAACGTCGTCAATAGTCGCTTGAGTTCAGGCGGGACAAAGATAGATAATCACAACAACACAGGCCAGAGCATGCTAAATGTAAATACGTCGTATCATTACACGGGAAGTTATCCCAACATTTGAATCTATCTTAACACACGGCAGAATAATGCTCATACATAGTCATAATCATCCCAAACACATCTAATGCCATTACCCATACGCCAGCCAATCCACATATACTTAATCCCTCAGATACTTGAGGAGCTGGTCACGCTCCTCAGGAGGCATGGTGCGGAGAACTTCGCGGACACCACGCATACCAGCGTTGGCGTTGTTCCTCAAGATGGCGCTCAGCTCAGTGGCCAAGTTATCAGCCTTAACAGCCTCGATTCTCTCCGTGATTGACTTGCGGTTGCCCTCGTACCACTCAGAAACCTCGCGGTCGTTGGTGGCGAAGTTGACAACACCAGACCAGGACTCAAGGAACTGGAGGTTGCGCTGGCGAGCCTCGGGAGTCTGGGTGCGGTCGGAGCCAGGTCCGGAGGTAACAATGGTAGAGTTCATGCGCTTGAGGAGGTACTCCTCGTTGAGACGGCGGCGCAGGCGCCAGTAGAAGTAGCGACGAGAGTTGCTCCACTCCAGCTGGTCACGGATGACACCCTTGGCCTTCATGCGGCCGGCACGGTCGTGAAGGTCGGCGAACTGAACAGCGATCTGGGAGTAGACGGGCAGAAGCTGCTTCTCGCGGATGGTCATCTTCTTCTTGAGCTCATCGGCCTGCTCCTTGGGAAGGTCTGCGGTCATCTGCTTCTTAAGAGAGGCGTAGACAGGGTCAAGGCGAGCCATGGTCTCAAGCTGCTTGTCCTTGCGGTACTTGATACCGATGATACCCTCGGGCTCGAGGACACCACCACGGGCATCAACGTCGGCGTACATCTCCATGTAAGTGGGGTTGATGGTGGGGTCAACGACGACCCAAGAGCCACCACGAAGCTCACCGAAGGGAGGAATGTAGACGAAGACAGGCTGCTCGTACTTGACGAGGGCGTCGACGATGTAAGATCCGTACTTGAGAACCTCGTTGTACATGTCGCGCTGGCCACCAGAGAAACCTCTCCAGTTGGCGAGGATCATGAGAGGCAGCTGCTCACCATTGTTGAAGTCGTTGATAGCCTGGGCAGTCTTGAAGGCGGAGTTGGGGTACCAGACACCACCGGCCTCGTTGGTGACCTGCTCGATGGAGTCGGGGTTGGCGGGGTCAGCAGGAGTGATGTTCTCGACAGTGCGGGTCTCAACGGCAATGACACCCATAGGGATACCGTTCAGGCGAGCGCGACCGACAACGACGGTACGGGCCCATCCGCCGAGAGTCTCGACGAAAGAGTCCTTGTCGAAGAGACCGGACTCGAAGGTGCCATCCTCGTCGGTGCGACCGTGGATCATCCACCTGACGTCGTAAGGCTGCTTCTGAGGAGGCGTGTAGACGACGTCCCGGTCCCAGCTGTCAACACTGGGGCTGATGGGAACCGGGTTGCCGCGGCTCTGGGGAATGAAGGACATCCACTCAACAATCTTGGAGACACCATCGAAATCGTCCGCACCAGTCATGTGGGAGACACCGTTGCGGTACATGATCTGGGTACCACCAAGCTGGAGGTTGGAGGTGTAGATCTCACGACCAAGAACGTTGTTCAAGGCAGGGGCACCGGTAAGGATGATGGGCTGACCCTCAATCTGAACAGCACGCTGTCCAAGACGGACAAGGTAAGCACCAATACCTGTTGTCCTATTAGCCATGTCCAGTCTGGAAGAATCATTTTGTACTTACCGACAGAGCGGCACGTCACCAAGGTGACGGTGAAGATATCGTTGTAGGCCTTGCTGGTGGCACCGGCGATGAGACCAGAGCCTCTCAGGCACTCGACACCGAGACCATCCTCGGAACCGACAATGGTGACGATCTTGTGGCGCTTCTCGCCATCCTCGGAAACCTCCTCGGTGATGACATCCTTGGCGAAACGCTTCTTGGCATCCTCGTCGAGGTACAAGTACTTGAAGCCGGAATCCTGCTTGTTGGCATCGTTCCACGCAACCTTGAAGTAAGGCATGAGCTCGTTGGCGACACCAAGACGAGCACCGGAGTTGGCGGAGAGGTAGATGCGGGGGATACCAAGCTTGCGGGCGAGCTCAGTGCACTTGTAGAAGAAGTTGTCTTCCTTGGGTCCGAAGGAACCGATCATGTAGGTGATATCGTTGGCGACAACAATGAACTTGCGACCCTTGGGGTACTCGGGGGTCTTGGCGTTGAAGATCCAACCAACCATACCGCAGGTGTTGGTGCCAGGCTCGCGGTTGACCTCCTGGAGGTTGTCCTTGTCATCAAGGACAAGCTCAGTGTACGAGACGCACTCACCAGCCTTGGGCTGTTGGGTACCAAGAGTGCTGTGCTTCTTGACCATCTGGGTCCAGGTGTTCTGGATGGCCTGGCGGAAGAGCTCAGGGAAATCGTAGACGTACTGGGTACCCATCAGGTGAGCCTTGTAACGCTTGGGCTGCAGAGGGTTCTTGGTAGCGTAAGGAGTCGAGACGGGCAGCAAGTGCATGGGACCCTTCTCCTTGGTGCCACCAATGGAGTTGAAAACCCACTCGCCCTTCTCAGACTTGCGCTCGGCGTAGATGTCGACATCAACAACGTAACCGGAGGTGTTGGTGATGATGACACGCAGAGGGTAGGGCACGCCGGTCTGGGGGTCGGTGCAGATGATGCGGATCTCAACCTGAGCGACACGAAGGCGCCAGGCGCGGGCACCGAAGCGGTCCAGGAAGCCCTGAAGGCTTTGCTCGACCTCCGAGGGGTGAAGCTGGAAGACGGGAGTGAAGTTGATGAAGACCTGGTTCAAATCGGAGTTGTTGTTGCCGATAATCTCAAGGGCATCGAAAATATCGTTGATGACGCGGTCAGCCTCGGAGATGAGGTACTCGGCAGTGGGGATCTCGTCACGGAGGCGGCCGGGACGGATGACGGCGCGAGTGAAGTAGCGCTTGTCGCCGTCAACGGCCTTGCCAATACCCTCGTAGACGTGGATGTTCTTGTTCTCGGTGAAGACGGGCTTGATGTGGAACTTGGCGAGACGGCCGAGCTCAAGCTGGAAAGCAAGAGCGGGCTCGCTGTGCCGAATGCTGTCATCCTCGATGTACTCGGGGCCACGGAAGGTGTAGTAGCCGGGGTAAGAACCATCGTTGCGACCGCAGATGAAGGTGATGCGGCGAACGTTGCGGGACAGAAGCTCATCCTTGAACTGCTCCACGATGGGGACGATACGGG